TCAACATGACAATAATCCGGACTTTTTGAAGTGTATATTGGTGACAGACGAATCTACGTTCGCGCGTAATGGGGTGAATAACTTTCGCAACACTCATGTTTGGTCAGTAGAAAATCCGCATCGGTGAATGTTTGGGCTGGCATGGTGAACGGTATGCTCATTGGACCATTTATTCTCCCAAATCGATTGGACAGGATGCAATACCTAGACTTTTTACGCAACATTTTGCCTTCCTTGTTTGCCTGCGTCTGCTCGGTAGCGCATCAGCTGATTTCATTTTCTGTTGGAGCGGTATGATTTCGGGCAGAGACGTACTTAGCCCTTCTCGTCAACTGGAGAGTGAGTACTTTTTCCTTTATTTTTTTTTATTTGGTCGTCCTCGTTTCACTACACATTACCTTTATTTCAAGGGTAGTTGTTTCTGAAAAGGAAAACCCCAACTTTGCGGACACCCTGTATATAGTCCCCATTACAGCTTGGAGAAAAAACCGGGTGTAGCACAAAGCGACATCTAGAATGTTGGAGATCACTTCACGTCGATCTAGAAGGCGATCCACTGTCACGGTCCTCACAGACGCCGCCAGGCGGCTTGTGCGCCGTGGTTCGCGTAAAAGCAGAGATCGGCATTTAGGCTCTGGCGAGTAGAAGACTCTCCCAACAGATGGCGCTATTCGTCACACTGCCCCTTCCCTAAAATCATTCCGTAAAAGCTTGTTGGTAATCCTGATCCTATTGGAATTTGCGTTACCCTTCTGTCAGCCTGGTCAGTGGTTTTGCGATGTTAGCAAATCCTTCCACGTAACGTCGGTAATACGTACACAATCCTAGGAAGCTGCGTAGCTCACGTTTGTCCTTTCGCACTGGCCATTCTTTTACAGTCTGGATTTTCTCCTTGTCGACCGCGACTCCCTGACTGGAAACAACATGGCCAAGATACTGCACAGCTCTTTGAAGCAGGTGGCATTTCTTTGGGCTTAATTTCAAGCCAGAACCTCGTAGCCTTAAGAAAACTTCCTCTAGGTTCCTCATGTGGCCCCCAAATGATTTTCCCACCACGATAATGTCATCAAGGTAAACCAGGCACGTTTTCCAGGATAGTCCTCTTAGAATCGTGTCCATTAGCCTTTCAAACGTGGCAGGAGTATTGCACAAGTCGAATGGCATCACATTAAACTGTCATAATCTGGTGCCCACCGTAAATGCTGTCTTCTCCCGATCTTCAGGGGCCAATTCTACTTGACAGTATCCGCTTTTTAGGTCTAGGGTAGAAAATATTTTTGATAAAGCCAGGGTCATCAATACGCGGTAGAGGGTAGCTGTCCTTCTTGGTCACGTTGTTTAACATTCGGTAGTCCACACAAAATCTAGTTGAACCATCTTTCTTTTTAACCAAAACTACCGGTGAGGCCCATGGATTGTTGGACGGTTGAATGATTCCCTCGCTGGCCATACTGTCTACGATCTTGTCATCCTCCTCTCTTTTAGCAAGCGGGAGCCTTCTTGCCATCTGCCGGATGGGGAGGGCATTTTCCGTATTGATCTTGTGCTGAACTATATTGGTTCTTCCTTTTTGTCCAGTATCGAATACATCCCGATATCTATGTATTAGATGTTTCAGTTTCTTTCTTTGGTCTGGTCTTAGATCTCTGCCTGATGACGAAATCAGTTCTTCCAGTTCCTTAGGAATGACCCCTGAGTTTTCCACGACTGGCATATTTCGAATGATTGCAGAAACTGGACAGCAGTGTCCCAGCTCCGAGCTCTTCTTCAAGGACACAGGGTAATGGCTGACATTCATTAGTCTCACAGGAATAGTTTTATCGGCACGCACAAGGGCCTTTGCAATGGCTATCCCTCGGCGAATAGCCTCGACATGCATCCTAGGTTCAAACATGACTATTTCTCCGTCTGTAGTCTGGCCCTCTACTGAGCCATTCAATACAACTTCGCTTCGTTCTGGGATCATGGTGTCTTCAGGCAATAGAACTCGTACGGTTCCATTCCTTTCCCGATGTAAAACGACCTCCTCATTGTTGACTTTCAAGATTCCTTGCTTAACGTTCAACTCGAAGCCTTGTGTGTCCATGATGTCCATTCCGATGATTACCTCGTCCTCAATATCCGCTACTATCGCCGGATGTTCGAATGCAGCTTTTCCTATTCCAAATGCAATATTTACTTCACCATACACGTTTGCTCGGTCTCCCGTCGCCGTTCGTAGTCGCCACTTGGATGGTCGAATCTTCGCCGATGCTTTCACCATCTCGCACCAGGATCCAGCAGCACGGTGTGGAGAGTCCCATCCACAAAAACACTATTAGACTGATGTTTAAGCGAGGAGATTTGGACGGTATTAACCAATGGGGCTTGTTGGCTACAGGTCGACGACAGCCCCTTCACATCGACTTCCCTTAGTTTTCCGGATTGACCAGATGATGACTAGCACCTTCAGGACAGTGTCTCCTAACGTGCCCTATTTTTCCACATTTCCAACATTCCCACCTGCTGTTCTGGCGGCGACGTTCACCATCAAGTTCCTTAAAAATGCGCTTGACGGACTCTCGTTATCTCCTGGTACCACCTGGCGGACTCTCACCTGGCTTTTATTTGTGTTTTTAGTGGCTTCGAATTCTAAGGCCCGAGTTAGCGCATCTACTAGCTTAGGGGGATGTGCCAGTAGTAAGGCTTGCCTCATTTCACTATCACGAAGTCCATCCAGGAATGCTTGAACTGCCAATCGCTCCATTATCCTTTCCTGAACATCGGGATTTGCTAGTCGTACCAAACCGCGCAATGTCCGCTTCATACTCCTGCAAGGACTCGCCTGACTTCTGGAACCGATTCTTGAGTTGAGTATGGTAGACGTCTTGACCTCTTGCTCTTCGGGTTTGGAATACTCTTATGTGGAATCCGCAGCTATTTTTCCCGAAATTTGGGTAGACTTAGATTTCTTAGAAATATGACATATTGGTATCGGCAACTCTGCGAATGGGAGAAACAAATCGCATTTGTTGAGCGCGTCCGTCTAAGCGGTAGGCGCCAGCGCCCGTTCTGCCATCTCTCTCTTTTATCACTCTTCTACTTTACCCCGTTGTCCGTCACACTCCGACGCTGCCAGATAAGATCCTACAATCGAGTGTCTTTCACGCACCTACGTAGTCATGCCATAAGTTCTGTCCCTCGTTTTCAAACAAGTGTAGACCTGTTAATACTTGTCCGATTGTTTACATTGTGGTGTCAGTTGATTAAGCGCTTTTCGGGTAATTACATATACCTCAGTTTGTAGTGATCTCTCGAAGCATAACGATGGAGTGGGGCAAGGCAGAGAACCGTATTGCAGTTACAGTTACATAAGTGTAATCACAGTGCTAGTCAGATTTTTGAACTCTTACGCGGCCTTCAAATATCGCGTAAATTTGTGTCTAGGACCATTCAGCGGTACAATGAGACGTCCTCTGTTGATGACAGGCCAAGAAGCGGAAGACCTCGTCTAGTAAGGACTCCAGCAGCCATCAAAGCCGTAAAAGCCAGGATTCAAAGGAATCCACTCCGGAAGCAGAAGATCCTATCCAGGGAAATGAAGATTCCTGTCCGGACGATGTCGCGCATCATTAAACAAGACCTAGGGCTAGGGGCTTACCGGAGACGTACGGGCCAGCGACTTACGGCCACCTTGCGACACATCAGGGCGACAAGATCCAAGAAGCTCTTGGAGAGGTACGCAGCTGGGGGATTCCGAAAGATTTTGTTCACGGATGAGAAAATCTTCACCATAGAAGAAAAATTCAACCGACAAAATGACAAAGTGTATGCAAGGAGTTCACAGGAAGCTTCGGAGATCATTCCGAGAGTTGAGAGAGGCCACCACCCTGCGTCAGTCATGGTTTGGTGGGGGGTGTCCTACGAAGGGGTCACTCAGCTCCATTTCTGTAAACAGGGCGTGAAAACAAAAGCGGCAAACTATCAGAGCGACATACTGGATCCTATCGTCAAGCCTTTAAGTGGTACATTGTTTGCCAACCAACACTGGGTCTACCAGCAGGATTCCGCCCCCGCTCACAAGGCTAAGAGTACGCAGCGCTGGCTGGAAAGCAATGTGCCAGAGTTCATTGCTGCGGAAGATTGGCCCTCAGGGAGTCCGGACCTCAATCCTTTAGACTACAAGTTGTGGGACCTGCTAGAGCAGTTGGCCTGCTCCAAAGCCCACCGTAATATCGAGTCCCTGAAAGCGGATTTGATCCGATCAGCGGCAGCTATTCCTTTGGAAGCTGTGCGTGCAGTGATAGATGAGTGGCCCGCGAGATTGAAGCAGTGTGTGAAGGCCAAGGGGGGACATTTTGAATAAAACTGTTTGATTATGAATTCTAAAAATGTTGTCGAATAAATAATATCTTTCATATAAATATATCTTATCTTGTTTCTTTTTTATCATGAGATTATCATGGGACAGAACTTATGGCACGACTACGTACATACTTTTGTATATTTCCATCTCTCTTCCTCATCATAATGTATAATAATGGTTTTTCCCATACTGTATATAAGCCAACCAGTGAATAATCAGGATTAGATGTTATGAACATTTTGGTATCCTATCAACTTTCACAGTATTTACGGTTTCCACAATTTTTTGAAAAACTAGCATTATAAACATATAATGAAATTCAATTCTTTTTTAGATATGGTTTCGGAAAATGTTCAGAGTAGTCCCGAAACTCATGAAGGTAGTAGGAAAATTGCTAATCCGTTGGCTGCAAAAATGAGAGAGACCCTTAAAATAATTCTATTGAAGAGTTCTTCAACAGACAGCAAGTTGGCCCAAGAAAACATTATATATGTAAGCGGAAAATCTAGAACACCCCGAAGTACCGATGGCTCAGCATTCAAGTATCCGTCGCTGGCCGTCTAGTGATTGTTAGAACGTCTTTGGGTGACTGGGAACGTCGAGGTTGCGGGCTGTACAGCCGAACGCAGCCGAGTAGCCGAAGACAGTCGATCCCGAGAAGACCGACGTGGCAGGTGGGGACGGCGGAAGGAGTCTGGCGCGACGGTCGTGGAGAGCGTGACCTATGGCATGAGCTGTAACTTAAACAAACGGAATAATAGACGTTTAAAACAATCGCGTCGCTGTATTATTTGGGGTGTTCGCCCTATAGACCCATCTAAAGTTTACAATCAGAAGTGGGATACACACCGTGCTCAAGACAATAGTGTGAAAACGTATTTTTAGTGAAACGTGAAAATGGCGGAAAACAGTGGACATCGTGAACCTGAGTTACAACGAGGGGATGTTGACGAAAGTGACTCTGAGGAGGAACTGCCTGCAGGTCCTTCATCTCCGAAACGTGCAAAAATTCAGTGGCAGGAGACGCTTATTAATTTGGTAGCGACCCAGCAACAAGAACTCGCTGAATTATCGCGCCAAACCAACATGGCGCAATTCGCCGCGTCAACACCCAGTACAAGTGCGCCAGATCCGATTGTCCCGTCCGTGATCAATTCGTCATTCAAGATTTCAAGCTTTGATCCCGATAAAAGTGCTTATCCTATAAAGGAATGGCTGGATGATTGCACGAAATTAAAAGAAGAGTTGGTAAGCGATATGTTGATGATTGCTAAAGTTGGAGACGCATTACGTCATCGAGGTTATCGTTATTATTGTGACTGGAGACCTCTTAGTAGGACGTGGTCAAATTTCTGCGAGGATTTAATTATTGCATTCCCTGATAAAGAGACACCTGGAGCGAGAGCGTATAAAGCGGCTACGCTTCGTAGCGTTGATTGTGAGTCACTATGCGATTATGGGAATCAAAAACTGAGAATGATCGGCAGATTCTACGACAAGCTTCCATGGGACACTGTTCTTAGTATGATAGAACATGGCTTGAACCATAACGAAGCGCGTTCCGCAATCCGAATACAAAATCCTAGTTCTGAGCGTGAGCTACTTAGATTATTAGGAGAATTTGATGCGCGTGTCAACAAAATACGCGATGTTGCAGGAACATCAGGCAACCGAAAATCTGAGCGTTTTGTGAAAGAACCCCTTCACGAGTCAAAAAGCCGACGAGTTGTAGGAGAATTTAAAGGAAAATGCTTCAGATGTGGTCGACTTGGACACTCGCAAAGCAAGTGCAGAAATTATCGAAAAGAGCCAGAAGTTTCAGAGGCCGCAAGTGAAGTTCCGAAATCCAAAAATGTTTCTATTCCTACATGCAATCACTGCAAGAAAATGGGTCACACTGAGGATAACTGTTGGTATAAGAACGGAAAGCCTCAAAAAGCATTCGTGGTCAGAAAATGACGCCAACTGTTATTGACGCCGATAGCTACAGTTTTATGCAACAATCGCGCTCCTTCACTGACGTATCGCGTGGATAGTGGTGCTGATGTGTCAATAATAAGGCATTCGACCGTTACAGCCCTGAACGGACTAATAAAGCCAAATGGTAGTGTATGTGCTTTCGTTGGACTTGGGAACCGCATTGTTTATGCTGTGGGTATTTGTGATCTGATAACAATTCTGCCAACACTGACCTTAGAAATTAGTTTCGTTGTAGTTCCAGATAACGTTTTTCCGAATGGAATTGATTTTCTTATCGGCTTGGATGTTATTCTTCAACCCTCTGTGAGTGTTAGGAAAAGTGCTGATGGTATCGAACTTTATTATGAACCGAACGGTGGATTGAAAGTGCTAGCCGTGCAGTGTACAAGGCGCGTTCAAATCAATCAAGCTGGACTAGATTATGATTTAAAGTTAGAATTAGAAACTTTGTTAACTGTGTATAAAGACAAGACTCCTGATCGCATTACTACCGGTAAAATGACAATAAAACTCAAAAACAGTGAACCTGTAGTGTATCACCCCCGAGACGATTAGCATACGAAGAACGGACTCGGGTAGCGGAAATAATTTGTGAACTTTTGAGGGACGGTATCATACGAGAGAGCCAATCAGAATACGCTAGCCCTATTGTGCTAGTTAAAAAGAAAAATGGACAATTAAGAATGTGTGTTGACTACCGCGATGTGAATAAAAGGGTGTTTCGTGAACGATATCCTCTGCCAGTTATACAGGACCAAATTAATATGTTGTATCGCGCAAAGTATTTTACGACGCTGGACATGAAATCTGGTTTCTACCAAATGGAAATAGAGGAGAGCTCAAAACACATTACTGCATTTGTAACTCCTGATGGACATTATGAGTTTAATCGTATGCCATTTGGATACGCCAATGCTCCATCCATTTATCAACGAGCAATCGATAAGGCTTTGGGGCCTCTTAAAGGTACAAAGGCCTTGGTGTATCTTGATGATGTTATAGTGCCCTCTCTGACAGTTGAAGAAGGACTAAAAGACTTGGAAGAAGTATTGAGTGCTTTATCTATGGCTGGCTTCTCTTTGAACTATGATAAGTGTGTATTCTTTGCCACAGAGACTGAATATCTCGGAGTCATACTAAGCGAAGGCACAGTGCGACCTAACCCCTGAAAAGTTAGAGCATTAACTGAAGCACCTCAGCCAGCTAGTGTGAAAAATGTACGTCAGTTTATGGGACTGGCTGGATACTTCCGGCGATTCATAAAAGGATTTTCTCAGTTAACCGCACCAATAACAGCCTTATTAAAAAAGAATAATAAGTTCGAGTGGACTCCCGAGTGTGAATCAATAAGACAATTGGTAATAAGCAAATTAACCAGTTTACCTGTTCTACGCATTTACAATCCGGACTTACCTTGCGAAGTGCACACGGATGCGAGTTCAATTGGAATTGGAGCTGTACTTCTACAGAAAAAGGACGGTGTTGCTCAACCAGTTGCTTACTACAGCCGTCGTACTACCGAGTATGAATCTAGATACCATTCATATGATCTAGAAACTCTTCCTCTAGTGGAAGCAATAGAACATTTTAGAGTATACCTGTATGGCGTCCATTTCACAGTATACACTGACTGCAATTCAGTGCGAGCAACTGCATTAAAGAAACATTTACATCCTCGTGTAGCACGTTGGTGGGTAAAACTGCAAGATTATGACTTCTCAATAGAATACCGCCCTGGTAATAAAATGATGCACGCCGATTATTTAAGCAGAAACCCCGTAGACGATGACAACTGCGAATTGAAGATTTGTGCGCTGAAAACAATAAATCCAACCAAACTTTCCGACAAACAAACATTTAGAGAGTTCCAGAACAATGACTCATTTTGTCGGGAAATCTTCAATAATCCTGATGCTGACCCCGATTATACTGTTATGAGCAATCTCGTCGTAACCAGAACAAAGCCACCTAAGTGTTTTGTCCCAGTAGGCGCTCGTTTGCTAGCAATGCGATTGTACCACGACATGTCATCACATATTGGCTGGGATAAATGCATTCAAAAATTACGAGAAGACTTATTTTGGCCAAAGATGGGAAAATGCCTAAAAAAATATATCAAAAATTGCAGAGCATGTGTTCTTGGAAAATCTCATACTGGTCCTCGACGCGGACTATGGCAGCATGGTGAAAAACCCAATGATATCCTGGAAACCTGGCACGTTGACCACGCTGGTCCCTTAGTGAAATCCAATGGATGTACGCAGATACTAGTCATAATAGACGCTTTTTCAAAGTTTTGTCGACTACAGCCGATACCAAAGAAAACATCTGAGTGTTCAATCCGTGCATTAGTACCTGTTTTTGAGGAATTAGGAAAACTACAGCGCATTATAGCTGATAGAGCAACCGCCTTCACGTCAATAGTGTTTCGAAATTTCCTGAGCGAACATAACATTCAACTTCATTATATTGCCACAGGAGTTCCTCGAGGAAATGGACAGGTGGAACATGTTATGAGAACCGTTTTCAATTTGTTGCGAGCTACTCTTACCGATGAAAATGAAAATAAGTGGACTGTCGCACTAACAGCGATAGAAGACAATATCAATGCGACCATTCATTCTGTGACTGGTTACTCGCCCGCTGCACTCCAGCTAGGATGTAATCCAAGATTAACTGCAACACAACAATTTTTGGGCGACCTTCCGACAGATAAGTTCATCGACCCTGACAAGGCCGTTTCAGAAGCAAGAATGCGGATGAGGCATAATGCAAACAAGCAATCTCAGCAATTTAACGCAACCAGATACGCCGCCGAATTGTTTTCAACAGGTGATCTAGTAGCAGTTGAAGATTCGCAGCTGGCTGGTGGAAGCAAATTAATGGCTAAATTCAGGGGACCTTTCACCATTGAAGCCGTGCTTCCAAACGAAAGATATCTGCTACGCAGTAAAGGAAAACGCAGTACCGTAGCAGCACGAGATCAACTAAGACACTGGCCTTCCAGTCCTTCCACGCATCAGTGAAATGTAAGTACATAATTCACTATCAAAAAAAAAAAAAAAAAAAAAAAATGTGTATGTGGCAACCCCACTGCAATAGCAAGAGTTGAGGATAGTGGCGACCCCACTGAAATAGCCAGAGAGTTGAGGATAGTGGCGACCCCACTATGCCTAGTAAGTGGCGATCCCACTGAAATAGTTAAGTAGCAGGAGGATAGTGGCGACCCCACTATGCCTAGTAAGTGGCGACCCCACTGAAATAGTTAAGTAGCAGGAGGATAGTGGCGACCCCACGGAAATAATAATTACAGATTGAATAAAGGTAGAAAGTGAAATATCGTGACAGCTCCATGAAAATAGTTGTGTAAAAAAAAAAAAAAAACGATCCTGCTTCGTATTTTCTCTATTTCAGCTAGATACTCGTTTACGGCGCGAGGACGTGCCGATAGCAGGATGGCCGTGTAAGCGGAAAATCTAGAACACCCCGAAGTACCGATGGCTCAGCATTCAAGTATCCGTCGCTGGCCGTCTAGTGATTGTTAGAACGTCTTTGGGTGACTGGAAACGTCGAGGTTGCGGGCTGTACAGCCGAACGCAGCCGAGTAGCCGAAGACAGTCGATCCCGAGAAGACCGACGTGGCAGGTGGGGACGGCGGAAGGAGTCTGGCGCGACGGTCGTGGAGAGCGTGACCTATGGCATGAGCTGTAACTTAAACAAACGGAATAATAGACGTTTAAAACAATCGCGTCGCTGTATTATTTGGGGTGTTCGCCCTATAGACCCATCTAAAGTTTACATATATGAAGAAGGTAAGTTTAAAAATAGTTATTTTACTTTAGATAGTGACAGATTTATAAATATTTGAAACTTGTTCAAAATGTACAATAAAGTGAGAGCTATAATATGTATGTATAATTACTTCAACTATTAGTTGACACACTTTTAAAAAAAAAATAACTTTTAGGTAACCAGGATGGCTCAGTAACAGAGAAGTGTAACATCCACAGTACTACTGAATATACTCGCACAAGTCCTAAAAGAAAAACTTCTGTATTAGGAAAATGTTTAGTAAATATTCATTCCTCAGAACATCCAAGACCAGGCTCATCTAAAGACTTGAATTCAACTCCCCCAAAACATTTAAGATGTAAGTATGTTTCAGGATATATTTTGCAAGTATTTAGTTTAAAAAAAAAACTTAAATTTGATGCAATCAAATAAATTTTCAAACTTGTATGTATGAAATAATATTCAGTCAAATATTTGTATGTGGTTTTCAACTCCTTTTATTTTTGTTTTTTTTATTCATAGGTGAAAGCTGGGCTGAAAGCTATAGCCCAAAAGCAGGATTATCTGAAGACATCAAGTTAAATACGCCTTCTAGAAGTTCAGCAACTGCTAAAGGTATCTATTTTTATTTTTTATTCAAGTTACTTTCAGTATATTCCTTTTTTGAAAAAGCTCAGACACGTTGTAATTTATTTTTGAATTTATTAAGAATATTTCAATTTTATTTTTAGTAACTTAATACTTAGTTCAAAATTTTCCTATTTTTACTTTTATAAATTAATTACTCATTTGTTCTCAAGAAAATTGTTATTTTATACTTTACATAGGTACTAACCACGTGCAGAAAACACAGGGACATTGCATATCTCCTGAACTATGGATGACCTTATCTTATAAAGAGATAACAAGGCATTGTCACACTGATAAGAGATCCGTGGCAATGCGTGCCTGATAACAATAGGATGCTGTTCAAGTTTCTTATGCACGCGATAGTACATCGGTAATACCGACTACTTTTAGATTCATAACAACTTGCATAACTGTTATTTTTATGTATGTATTAAACAAATACACATTTTAAAAATATAATCGGGTTGAGCGTTCGAAGTTGAGTCATTTATTTTAACAGTGAGTAGATCTGATCAAAATAAATGTTTTTTTCCTTTAACATTTTTCTGGTAAAATTAAAGTAACAAAGTATAGCCCTTTAGAAGTTTGAGTACTGCCCTGTCTCAATAATAATATTATGTGCTCGTGTTTGGCGACAACGGATATAATCCGCCTTATCGGTTCATCGCATCGGAAACAAAATGCTGCCGCGGTATCACGAATTTATGCGGATCGGTTTCCCAATCGAGTGCAACCAACCCCTCGTGCCTTTGTTAATGTAGTACAACGGGCTCGTGAATCAGGTGACTTAAGACCTCACAGGGGAGGACATGCCGGTGCTCCAAGACCGCACGATCAAATACAGGTCCGCACTGAAATACTTGTCGGGAGGATACTTTATAAAACAAGGTAATTTTTTTTATTTTTATACATATTTTGGTTTATCTTCCTTCTATAATCATTATCTGAAAATTAATGACTCAACTTCAAAGTCTTGAATATTTGATTCAAATTTAGCGCCACGGTGTAATAGGGAAGTCCAAAGATGGCGCTAGGTATTCGATATTTTTGAAGGGTTCTATAACAGTTCGTATAGGTTCTATAAAAAGTTCGGAGAATGTCCTTGAGATGGCGCTACAAACTTAGTGATAAACCTTAGCATTACACATTCCCTTATAAAGTAGGTGTTATGTGGGCCTCCATCTCCCGGCCGCCGAGTTATATATAGTCCCCCCGAGAAAAAACCGGGTGTAGCACAAAGCGACATCTAGAATGTTGGAGATCACTTCGCGTCGATCTAGAAGCCACCAGGCGGCTTGTGCGCCGTGGTTCGCGTAAAAGCAGAGATCGGCATTTAGGCTTTGGCGAGTAGCAGACTCGCCCAACAGATGGCGCTATTCGTCACAATTATTTCGATGTCGGAGTCAAGTCATTGATTGTTGTCAGAGCGGTCCCGTGGGACCTTAGCTCTTGAGTCACAGTGTCAATTTCTGAGTCTGACAGATCTGGTAACCCAGAAACCAGACAATTCTAAGGAAAAAAGGGAAGGAAACGAGAGCAAACGGGAAGAAGAGAATCTTTTAGGATATGCAGCGTTTAGGCATTGTTAAAATCACTTCACAGATTTTGATATGGTCTAAAAATATTCGAATGCTCCAATTTTGGTTGTTCTAAGTTCACCCTAGGAATCACATGGTGATCTGACGCGAAATTCTCAAGCGAGCTTAGACGGAGCTGACATCAGGCTAATGGGACGATAATCCTGGGGAAATATCGAACCCACCTTCTTTGAAATCATTATAACTTCAGCGGTCTTCCACGCGGATGGGGAGTACTAGATCCTTAGCATGGCATTGACTATTGCCACGAGATAAGTTAAGGACTTCCGCGAAAGCAGCTTCAGCGCCTTATTAGTGATTCGATCCTCCTCAGGTGCTTTACGCACTTTAAGGTCTTTAATATGACCTTGAATCTCTGCTGGTGTGCAATGCGGGATCTCGGGAGATGCCGCTGATGTGCTAAGCAGAACTTCGGTTGAAGAAGCTTTTGAAGAAGAAAAATCACCAACGGTAGAGCGACTGTCACTGACGCCGTTGGCCCAAAAATATCTCCTGACAGATCTTACTATGTGTTGCTCCTCGTCGAGGTCATTATCAATATCATAGTTGGTAGAGAACTGTCTTTTTATGGCATCGGCGAAAACCTCAACCTTTTCCTCTATCCTGAAGACAATGCCTCCAGGACCATGAATGTGTGGGATTTGTTCAAGCTTTCCGTTTTTGAGCGGCTTCGCCACCTTCCAGAGAGGTATGCTCGAGTCGAGCATCCACGCCAGAAAGTCGTTCCATTGCTCATTGCGGAATTCATGAAGAGCATTTCTTACTTCATGAACAAGATTCGTCGCTCTGGGAATGTCATCAGGATGACAATACCTTTTCGCTTGCTTAATTGCAGCCCTTTTATCAGAAATTTGCTGACGAATGTCTGCTGGCAGAAAAGGTCTGTCGTGTCGCTGCACGGGAAGTAAAGCTGCACGCTGCAGAGCTTGCTGAACAAAGCTTGTCCACTCTGCTTGAGCCGCATCTATACCGTTCTCATCATCTATGATTGGAATATTGGGGAACTCTCTGAGGAGCGACTTGTATAGCTCCCAATCAATGCGTTTCCTTGGAGGGGTTTCATCCCCAAGATCTGCTCATTACCCACTTCCAAAACGACGGGAAGATGATCGCTTGAGATGTCATGCATGATTCGAGAAGTGATACTGTATCTACAGTTTTTGGATAATGCAAAATCAAGAACATCAGGTGCCTGATGGTGATTAAATGAGTGGTGCGTCGGCTCCTCAGTACTATGTATGAGGTAGCCATTTCGTATCACATTGTTGTACAGTCGGATCCCACTGGTGGAATTCAACCTAGAATGCCATTCTCGATGTTTGCAGTTGAAGTACCCTGCCACTATAAGTGGACCAGAGCAGTCGAAAAGGACTTCCAGATCCGCCGCTTGCAGCCCAATACCACACCTGAGATACACCAATGTGATTTTTAACGGCACACGTCCCGTCATATTGACCACCATGGAAGCTTATGTGCTTCTGAGGTAGTCAATACCGTGTTTCACTAGCACTGCCAAGCCGCCACCCCGTCCAGTCAAACTATCAGCTCGAATAACATCGTAATTCGGGAAAGCTAGACGATCTCCCGGATTAAGCAATGTTTCCTGTAGCAAGGCCACATCTATACTTTCGTCCACAAGAGCTTGATGAAATTCCCGTTTTTTGGGAATGTTCCTCAGACCCAAACAATTCCAAAAAAGAATTTTGATAAATGCAGGCTGTCGTCTATTGTACCTACCCATTTGCAGGAAGGATCGCCTGCAAAGCCTGTTTTTTGGCGAATCAGAGGACCTATGATCTGCTGTAAGGACCTTAGCGCGGTTGCTAGATCCACATTTTGCGTGTTCGCAGAAGATCCCACAGAAGGGGCAGCCCGGGTTGGATCCCTAGCTGCATCCGCGTAACTTACATTGCGCCTTTGCGCTATGACTTGCACTAGGGGCAAATCTGCAAGTTGGGCAATTCGCTGGGTGTCCCCCTCCACAGTTCGCGCACTTTCGTTCCTCTTGTTCTGTTTGAGGGCATAAGTGGGTCATGTGGTCAGAAGCACATTTTAGACATTTAGGTGGTGCAGTGCAGTAAGATTGCGCATGCCCATATTTTTGGCAGCGGTGACACTGCCCAATGAGTCTTGAGTTCTTTTGAACTTCGACTCGGATAGCCAAACCTAGCAGCTCGTGTTCGTTGAACAGCTCCTGAGATTTTTCTATCTTGGGCAGTATGACTACCACCAAAGGCATGGGCACGCCGCCACCGCGTTTCAGGCGAATTATGTGCAGGGGGGAATATCCCCTCTGGTGCAACTCTTCCTTGATCTCCGTTTCCTGCATCGACGGCAACCGCGCGTTCGAATTCGATGCCCAAAGAAATAAACTTGATTTACGCTTCGCCATCTCGAAGCATCGCGAAAAACGATGGGGGTAACACGTACCTTGCGTGGGGTCTGTGCAGTTGTGTCATCTGATACCTGAGATGTCGAAGGCGAAGAAGTAACCGATAGATTAGGCACAGGCTGTTTATTCGCGTCGCTTGCAGTTGAACGAGACGTTTCAGACTGCGATTTTTGGTGGAGGGAGAGGAGGAAAGCCTGTCGTGTCGGTCTTGTTTCGGCGCGTTTTACGGAGCTTAACCTTGATAAAACCGTCAGGGAGTGTATCGTCGTCAGTGGAATGATCGCTTGAATTATTTAACGGTATCTTAAGATTGACAGCTTTGTCTTTACTGGGATTTTGTTGGAGTGTTTGGGTTTTCAGTAGGAGGTCTAATTGTTAATTGTCCGCTGCTGGGCTTCGATGATCATCATCAATCTTTCATTGGTCTTCTTATCATCGTCCTTTTTTGACAGCTCCTGTCCAACCATCTCCAATTGGGCTCTCACCTCCTCTACGGTCTGCTCCTTCGACTCCGTCTCGATCGCCATGGTGGAAGCGCCATTTCCTGACCCCGCTGGGTCAGTTTCCATAGTAAATACCTCAGTTATCTCGCTTTTTGTCTCAAAAATTTTCCGGACCGAAATTACAGGACAGCTGCTATCAGTGCCCTATACAGGGCTATTATTCACTTAGAATCTCAGGGTCTAAATGAAGGGCTGTATTATTTCTTTGGTCGTATTTATTCAAAAAGTCACTGAAATCGACCAAAGTATCACAAAAATCGATTTCACAATTACCTTTAGAGAAGGTGTGCTGAAATTATAATAACTTCTGTTTTTAAGGCAGCAACAAACTCATCATATAAGATTTTTAGGTATTTATGAGACCTACAAAATGAGACTACACGTAAAATGGTCCGCCTAATAGCAAAAATGTTATGACCGAAAAACGAGGCAAAATTAATGTTTTGGCACTTGCTGGTAATGCGACGATAATTTCAACCAACTGCTTGAAATTCTTCAAATCCATAGGAATCATACTTCTAAATAAGAACAACCGAATGCAGTATATTGGTCAAGCAGTTTTTTGAGAATTTCAAATTGTTCATCCCAAATGTTTTCCGGCAATCACTACTAGTTTATTGAGCAATATATAGGGTTCGTTCGAAGAGCATTTAGTAGCAAAATACACGTGTTTACCTTGTCTATATGAATCACAAACCATTCCGAAAGATAAATGTTTTTATGCGAAAAACAAAGGTTTCGTTTTTTTCTTCTAAACAGATTCAAACATTTCGTATTTTTGAGTAATTGAACAAATGCGCTACGATATTCGAAATACTTACGTTACTAGACATTTTAAAAAATCTCATGTCTATCATCTTTTGTTGCGAATTACTCACAAATATCAAATGTTTGAATTTGTTTAGAAGAAAAAACGTAACCTATCGTTTTTTGCATAAAAATAACAGTTATCTTCCGGAGGTGTTTTGGGATAAACAATTAGAAATTCTCAAAAACTACTTGACCAATCTACTTCAATCTCGTTGTGGTTATTTAGAAGTACGAATCCTACGAAGAATTTCAGGTATCTACGAGAAACCATCGTCGCATTACGAACAAGTGCCAATACCTGCAGTTTGCCTCGGTTTTCGGCGATAACGTTTTTGCTATTAGTCGGATCTTTTTACGTGTGGTCTCATTTTGTAGGTCTTATAAATTCCTAAAAATCCTATATGAAGAATTTTCCGTTCTTGCCAACAATTTCGATGGAATCCCAGAAAACACGTTTTCTTCATTCTTTGATGTCGAATAAAAAGTTTTCCCACAATAATTGGTGTGCGCATTTTATGCTTCCATGTTTTAAATACTCCCTTGAACCACTTGCAATAATAAAACCAGACTTTACAATTATTTCGCAAACCAGGGGTATTTTCGTCTATGATTAGACTAAATAAACTTGAGGCAGTTTGACTTTATTGTATCTTTAGTGAAAAAATAAGCTACAGGAATTTTATAGTTTTGCTGTACCCCTCTTACCATAAACACAAGGCCATGATTTGCTTTTTCCTTGCTGCGTCCAAGGGTACCCAAATCCTCAAATCTTTTGTTCTTTCACTTCATAATGAAGAGCATTACTAAAAAACATTTCATGGTAACTTAAAAAAGGTCCTGTACAATCGTGGAATTCGTTTATGGAGTGCAAGTGCAAAAGTTTTGTCTCTAACTGCCCACTGGTAAGCATTTGGATGTTTATTGACAGTCCCAATTGTGAATTAATAAAACTTTTGGTAACTTTGAAGAAAACAATATATTGAAAACGACCATGCTCATATAAACTTTTTAATGAATACAAATGGGCTTTTTCAGTTTCCAAGATAGATTTTAATTTGGTTAGCCTTGAGCAAACATTCCGGTGGACTTGATACATAATTGATTTCTCAGGGCTAACTCCCTTCTTGGATGTACTAATATGACAGAGCTCTTCTCTAACATAAAAGAATATTTATCCAAATATGTGATTAGATTCTATTCTAGAACAACTTCCACTGATTTCAATGTTTTGATCGTCCAGAATAACACCGAAAGTTTCATTTTGCTCAGAAGGGGTTGGATTTCTCTAGAAGAAGGGTCACTGAATAAAACTCTAGATACTGAACAGGGACACGGTTTTACTAAACCTACTGGATAACTATTATTTGAATTTAAAACTGTATTGGGGGACACTGGTATGGCAATATATCTGAGACGTGAAGGATCTTGGGGATTATTACGATCAAACGTTGAAAAATGATGCTCACAAACATGATAACTGGAAACTTTACAAAACCGATGGAATACTTTATTTTTGTATATACAAGCAGATTTCTGAACAATGTGGAAATAGGAATTTTTGCAAGGATATTTGCATGAGTACTTTAAAGTAAAAATGTATGAAAAGGCAACCCCAAATCCAGACATGACTGATTCGATTAAAATTTACAAAAAAAAACAAGCTTATTGAAGTATGCAATCTTAAGTATTCCTGCACACTACACAAGTGAAAATATTGAAAAATATATGACAAAGATTATAACTATTATTATATAAAGATTATGAAAGATTATTTCTAGATTGAGAATTAAATCAATAATTAAAAGTTTAATGTGTAGCTTACCTGATTGATAACACAGATTCAAAACAAAATGGAATATTCCGACTTTCCGAGGGAAAGTCATACTGCCGTTTGTCAAACTCTGTTAGTAAGGAAGTGTCCTAGATTTTGCCTGGAGAGAATGAACGTGGTGTTGCCAGTTCGCCCCTAAGACGTTTCACCTCCCTGATTATAATCTGTGGCAGGAGACTATTATAGCCGCCCTGAGTTGGTTAAATAATAGATCAGCATACCAAGAGGTAGATACCATTTTATTGAGATCAGTCCCCGTCAAAAACTACTAAATTCCAGGAGTCGAATCTAACATCTCAAAAGTGGGATATTACCAAGATAATACGGATTCCAGACCATTTCCTGACGTGAGAAGCGGAAATCAAGTGACCTACCATGAAATCAAGGGCCCCAAAGTACGAGGCAAGGACCACAGTGATCAATAGAGACGACCATCAGCGCATTAGACTACCAATTTCGGACCAGATTTTCAAAAATTTTAACGATTTGGCCCAAAATAAGTATCCCAAAAGCACAAGGCGAAAATCACAGTAATTAAAAGTGATCACAAGTGAATCAAGGCGACCAACAGTGACGAAAAGTGACCGCCAATGACTATCAACAGTGTCAAAGAAAAGTAGCGAGCTTTGCAAAATAGTGATGTCAAATAAGGTTACTTTTCAGTAATCACGGTTACCAATTACTTTGAGCAAAAGTAACCAGTATTTGTACCGTTTACTGACATCACAAATGGCAACGTGTTATACATACTTATTTAAATGCTTGCGTCCTCTCTGTTAACGATTAGCACAAAATATTTAGTAATTCACGGTAGCAATTTAACCAATACAAAGTAATTGTAGAGGTTTACTCAAACAGTCCTAGGTCGTCGAAATTGGAAGTTCAAAAACTTAGGGGAAACGAATAGTTCAACTAGTAGTATGACACCACGACTACCCCGTATTGGTGGACGGCCGGTCTTGCCAGTATCATCGCGGTCCACAATCAGGTCTATATTGAAACAAAAGGTTCAATGGAGACATTGGATTTGACCTTGAATGAATGTAACATGAAATTAGAGGCATACCGGCCACCTTAAAGAAGCCAGCGCATAGGCCACTCAGACGGGCCCTTGTGCACCTCTACATTTCTTAGACCTCAAGCCTCGCCATTCTAGCGAAGTTGAGTATGGCCTTGAGTCCAAGCTCCATAACGTCTGGGGGTCCAAAGTGATGGACCCCAGTAGAGTCTGCCTGTAGTAGCTAAGAGCCTCACAGAGGCACAGAACGTGCGCCGAGGTCTCTTCTTCTACCCCGCAGCGCTCACACAAGGGATCCTCAGCCACCCCCATCACGCGCAGGTGTTATGGCTAGACAACAGTCCCACCAGCAACCTTAGGTTAGCTCTATCCAAAGATAAACAGAAACGTCCATGCTTAGCGCTGGGCCCTGCAATGAGTTCCGGTGCCTAACGTAGATGTCTGGAGATGCTTCTCCATTTCTGACAGTGCAAAATAGTGATATCAAATAAGGTAACTTTTCGGTAATCACGGTTACCAATTACTTTGAGCAAAAGTAACCGGTACTTCGTACCGATTATTATTATTTACATGCTTGCGTCCTCTGTTAACGATAAGCACAACATATTTAGTAATTCACGGTAGTAATTTAACCAGTGAAAGTAATTAAAAAAGTAATTGTAGGGGTTTACTCAAACAGTCCCAGGTCGTTGAAATTGGAACTTAGCGGAAATTAGTATGATACCACGACTACCATCTCTTGGTGGACGGCCAGTGTTGCCAGTATCACCGCGGTCCAAAATCAGGTCTATATTGAAACAAAAGGTTCAATGGCGACATTAGATTTGACCTTGAACCTCACCTTCAAGGTCATTTTTGCTGTTTGCAAATAGAAATAAATGATACCCGCAACCGAAAGAATCGAAAGTACTACGTCCTAATATGTAAAATCTAAGAACAAAGTCAACTTTACGGGTCAAATGTGAGGCCAGTGAAAATTCCTTGAAGCTTAGCAGGATTATTGATGAAAATAATTTATTCTTCTTTATTGGTTTTTAACAAGGCAAGAGCGACTTTGGGCTCAACCTTGAATCTCACCTTCAGTCATTTCAAGGTCAACATATCCAAAGTCTACTATTACAACTCTCTCTATTTGACATCTACAGTGGCAAATATACATTCTAATATGTTGTCATCTACTATGATGACCATGAGACCCCAAGGTCAATATTAAAATACTTAAAAGTTACTGCCTGTCTGATCTTGTTTTTTTTGGGACCTAACGGAAGCAATCGATTGAAATAATTGCATTCTAGCTCTAATATATATTTTGTACTCTTAAATACTAATCCACAACTTTATTTTTACTATCATTTTCAACTATTAAAATGATAGAATCGTCTGGCGCCTGAACAAAGCTTCCCGCATCAATCACACTTCTTTCATCACAAGATTGGGGATCACAGACATGCTCATCATTACTAAAAGATAACAATTCAGTAATGCTAAATAAACGTTGATGAACGTCATTCAAAACAGGATCGGGCAAGGTCTCAAAATTGATATTGCTCAAATTTGATAACATATTCTTAACTTGTGTTGTGAGAATTGGTTTAGTATTGAATACTGCGACTTGCGTTACAGTTTCTCCTCCAGTTTCATCAGTATCCTGAAACATTTGACTACTGTTGGTCTCGTCATACTGACAGAATTTTTCTTTTTCAATATCTTCTACAGTATCTTGACACATGGTCTCATTTTCTAACTGATTATCTATAAAATAGTCATCAATCAAATTTTCAGTTTGTTCATCAGGAAAGTCGCTTTTCACCCAAATTATTTCAGGCTTATCACAACTTAGTAGGAGCTTCTCATTTTTTGATGCCTTTTCAACTTTGATACCATACAATCTACTTATTCTCAAAATATCCTTTAGAGTTACAAGATGCAATCTCCTTAAATGCTCTTTGTCTTGTTTTTGGAACGACCGCACTATGCTGAAAATATAAAGATGTATTTCAGCATTGACATATATACCACCAAAAAACAAAAAAAAAATTATAGCATGCAATTAAATGATATCACATCACGATATTAATATAATTGAAAATTCATCAGAGCCTCTCTATGTTATTTTAAGGCAAAAACCAACACAATAATAAACATTAAAATAAATGGCGTCAAGAAGATTGACTCCACTTCCCACCCAACGTCATTATCAGTACACAAAGGATTATGTTCAGCACAAGCTAGACCCTCTGAGAAAAAAGCTAATCAGATCCATACAATCAATCTATAGACATTTTTCGCTGTCCTACCATCTGGCAACGTCGCTTCTCCCCGATACCTAACCAGATCAGACGTGGCAGCGCGACCACAGCATAGGAAACACTATGTCGCGACAGTAATACGCGTAATACCAGAACACTCACTAAGGCCAACTGATGAGAATAGTGTAACAAGAATGACTAATACTGTTGGCGCCATCTGTTGGGATACTCTCCTACTCGCCAGAGCTTCATGGTCGATCTCTGTTTTTACGCGGATCGCGACCGCCGGTTGGCGACATCTGTTGAGGACCGTGCCAGTGACTCGCCTTCTAGATCGACGCGAAGTAACCTCGACGATTCTGGAATGCCGCTATGTGGCTCACCAGAATCTTCTCAAATCGACAATGCGGACTATATAACTCGACGGCCGGGAGAGGGAAGCAGCGTAGAGGAGAGCAGAGTAGAATATAGTTCAGTGAATGGGGCGACATAATTCGTAGTCGGACATAAATAGTGGTGTACACAAATGTTCTATCTAGTAAAGTTAAATAAATTAGTGCATTTCTTTTTGTGGAATCCAGTGTTTTAATCCACACCCAAAAGAACCCAGAAAAACGCTACATTGGTGTCAGGTGTGGATTATTGGACATTTAGTGAAAATAAATTGGACGATCAGTGAAGGAAGAATGGCGCGATTGGTTGATTTGAAAATTGTCGATTTAAAGAGATAGCTAGAAAAAAGAGAGTGCGACACGGCTGGAAAGAAAGCAGAATTACAGGAGCGGCTTCGTCAAGCACTGATTGAGGAAGACGAGGACCCGGATATTTTTATTTTTACCGATGCAGGGGATATTGGTTTAATGCTGCAAAACCTTTCGATAAAGTTAGAAAACAAGCTCGTGGAAAACTGTGCCGATCTTTTAGAAAAATCAGCCAAGTTAGAAAAAAGGCTCGTGGAAAAATGTGCCAACCTAGAAGGAAAACTCTTGGAAAGTACAGCCAAATTAGAAAAGAAGTTTTTGAAAAATGCTGCCAATTTAAAAAAGAATTGGAAGATAAAATTATAGAAAAATCATGCGTGTTGGAAAAACGAATTTTAGAAACTTTGGAGTACAGCATTCAAGAAGTGCAAGGCAAGTTTTCCGCTTAGACGTCAAGACCATCGACGAACGACAGTGTGGACTTCCGTTGGAAAAACAAAGTGAGGGGTCAGCTGGTCATCTGCGAATGAAACCGCTGCAATTTGATGGTACAACGCCTTGGAATGTATACCGACGTCAGTTTGAGGCAGCCGCAAACGCAAATGGTTGGTCATCGACCGAAAGGGCAACTGCACTCAGTTTGGCCCTATGAGGAGATGCTGCAGATATTCTTCAAAGAATATCACCCGAAGAGCAAGAGGTCTACGAACAACTAGTAGGACATTTGGAGTTGCGATATGGCCAGTCACATTTAGAACATGTCTACCATACTCAATAAAAGAAGTCAGGCGAGTCCTTGCAGGAGTTCGAAGCGGATATTGCGCGCTTGGTACGATTAGCATATCCCGATGTTCAGGAAAGGATAATGGAGCGATTGGCAGTTCAACCATTCCTGGATGGACTTCGTGATGGTGAAATGAGGCAAGCCTTACTACTAACGCATCCACTTAAGTTAGTAGATAAGCTAACTCGGGCCTTAGAATTCAAAGCCGCTAAAAACACACATGAAAACCAGGTCCGAGTCCGCCAGATGGTACCAGGAGATAACGAGTTCGTACAGTCCGTCAAGCGCATGTTTAAGGAACTTGATGGTGAACGTTGCCGCCAGAACGGCAAGTTGGAATGTTGGAAATGTGTACAAATAGGACACAATAGGAGAGGCTGTCCTGAAGGTGCTAGTCCTCATCCGGTCAATCCAGAAAACTAAGGTAGGTCGATGTTAAGGGGCTGCCGTCGACCTGTATCCAACAAGCTCCATTAGTTAATACCCTCCAAGTCTCCTTGCTTAAACATCAGTCTAATAGTGTTTTTGTCGATGCTTTTGTGAAAGCATCGGCGAAGATTAGACCTTCCAAATGGCGACTACGAACGGCGACGGGAGACCGTTCAAACGTGTACGGTGAAGAAAACATCGCATTTGAAATAAGAAAAGCTACATTCGAACATCCGGCGATAGTAGCTGATATTGAGGACGAGGTAATCATCGGAATGAACATCATGGACACAAAGTGTCAACAATGAGGAGGTCGTTTTACATCGGGAAAGGAATGGAAACGTACGAGTTCTATTGTCTGAAGTAACCGTGATCCCAGAACGAAGCGAAGTTATTTTGACTGGCTCGGTAGAGGGTCAGACTACAGATGGAGAAATAGTCATGTTTGAACCTAGGATGCATGACGAGGTTATTGGCCGATAGATAGCTGTTGCAAAGGCCCTTGTGCGTGCCGATAAAACTATTCCTGTGAGACTAATGAATGTCAGTCATTACCCTGTGTCATTGAAGAAGGGCTCGGAGCTGGGACACTGCTGTCCAGTTTCTGCAATCACTCGAAATATGGCAGCTGTGGAAAACTCTGGGGTCATTCCTAAGGAACTGGAAGAACATAGATATCGGGTTGTATTCGATACTGGATAGAAAGGAAGAACCAATATATTCCAGCACAAGCTCAATACGGAAAATGCCCGCTCCATCCGGCAGATGGCAAGAAGGCTCTCACTTGCTAAAAAAAAGAAAGATGGTTCAACCAGATTTTGCGTGGACTACAGAATATTAAACAACGTGACCAAGAAGGACAGCTACCCTCTACCGCGTATTGATGACACTCTGGATACCCTGGCTGGATCAAAAATGTTTTCCACCCTAGATCTAAAAACCGGATGCGGGCAAGTAGAACTGGCCCCTGAAGATCGGGAGAAGACAGCATTCACGGTGGGCATCGGATTATGGCAGTTTAATGTGATGCCATTCGGCCTGTGCGATGCTCCTGCCACCTCTGAAAGGCTGATGGACACGATTCAAAGAGGAGGGAGTTGCTGGCCGTCGTAAAGGCAATGAGACATTTCTACAAATACCTCTATGGCAGAAAATTCTTACTCCGGACCGATCACGCAGCTTTAAAATGGCTTCTCCAGTTTAAGAATCCAGAGGCTCAAGTTGCAAGATGGATAGAGAGGCTGCAAGAGTTTGAGTTCGACATCGAACAAAGAAAGAGGAAAACCCAAGAAATACAGATGTCTTATCGAGGAGACCCTGTTTAAAGGATTGTAAGTATTGCCAGCAGGCAAAGGAGAAAGATACCCAAGTATTATGAACCAGTATCGTTAGTGATAATTGGTAATAGGAAAACCTCATTAAAGACCAAGAAGGCGACCCCGATCTCCTAATAATTCTGAACTGGATGAAAGAACAACGGAAACCAGCCTGGGAGGAAGTTATCCCCAGATGTCGGATCCCGGAGCTGCTACAAGAAATCCGTTCCGGTGTGTCAGGAGGTCACCTCGGAGTTACAAAAACCCTGGGAAAAGCGAGGGAAAGATTTTACGGGGTCAATAGAAAGGAGGACGTAAAATAATGGTGCAGAAAATGCGTTGTGTGTACGGCAAGTAACGGACCGCAAAGGAAACCAAAAGCTTCGATGCGCCAATACAACGTGGGGAGCCCCTTTGAAATTATTGCTATTGTGTTGCGGGACCCTTTCCAGAAAGTGAAGCAGGGGATAAACAAATCATTGTGGTAATGGATTACTTCAGCAAGTGGGTTGAGCCATACGCTCTGCCAATCAGGAATGAATCTGACGATTTTTTGTACCTTTGTACCTGTTCCAAAATATTTGTCAAATCATTGGGATTAAGAAGACCAGGACTACTGCCTTACACCCGCAGTCAGATGGAATGGTGGAGCGCATGAATAGGACCATTAACCGGTATTTGGCTAAGGTAGTCTCTAGCCATCAAAGAGACTGGGATAGTGTTCTTCAGCTCTTCGTTTCCCATGCAATCTAAAGTTTGGCTGTCCACCAGGAAAAGATATTGCCCGAGAAGACTACTTAAGTGAGCTGCGTAGAAGAATGGACGCCATCCATAGCCAGGTTCGTGTTTCAATTCAAGGTGCCAGCGACCGGATGAAAGAAGCTTACGACGTTAATGCCAAAGACCAGAGGTATGAGAACGGTGATACGGTTTGGCTTTACGACCCAAAGAGGCGCAAAGGGCTGTCGCCTAAACTTCAATCATTCTGGGATGGGCCATTAACGATGTTCTCTACAGGATTCACAAGGAACCACGCGGCAAAGCCAGAATTGTACATTTCAACCGCCTTGCACCTTATCATGGAAACAACGAAGATGCGGCGGTGCGGCAAATCCAACCAGAATTGGACATGACATTTCACCAATTTATGACTCACCATGCTAATGGCCATAAGAGTCGGTATGGCGTGACATGTGAAGTACAGCAAGATCTGTGTACCACTTCAAAAGAGTATGCCCTGGCATATTGTGTGGTTCAAGACTTGCGAATGTCGAGAGGTATAGCAAAGGTATTTCTCAGGAAGTTTGGAAGAGTGCACGAGCTGCAACAATCTAACCCGGAAGTCGGAGAAGTACTCCAGATAACCGAAGAGGGTACCAACTGAAAGATCTTCTATCTGTTTACCAAGAAAGCTTCGTATCAGAAACCGAATTACAAGGATGTCTGGAACGCTCTGTGTTCCCTTAGAGAAGTGTTGCTTGCCGAGGACCTGAGAAAACTGGCAACACCTAATCTGGCATATGGACTGGACAAACTGGACTGGTGAACCATCCAAAGCATGCTTGAGGCAGTCTTCTGGTATACAGGCATTCGATTTCTGGTTTGTTGTCACAGTCCTAGACGGCTACCTCCTGGAAAGGGTGTGGATTGTTACTTCTTCAAGAACTTCTACTGCAAGAAAGGGCAGTTGTGTCGATATCGACATGCACCACCTGTTAGATCATTCCGGCAGGCTTATTACGTAAAAATTTCCAACTCTGATCGGTGAGCAACCGACTTGCGACCGGTTATCGAGCGACCGAAAAATTCGTATTCCCTAACGTAATTGGCAACCGGTTGCCCAACTGTCATTGAATGCAGTTTTTGCGCCACTAGCAATCGAGTAGCAACCGGCGGAATTGAAGTGACATACGATGGTAAACAATCGTCGTGTTTATAAATCGAAAAATGATAAATACATTGTGGATCGTGATTGTGAATTTAAAATTAACAATGGGACCTAGTTTTGTTGAAAATTGAACACGTAAGTATATAATACGATGGTCTGTTATTAAAAATGAATGTCTATATGAAGAGTTATCTCATGACAGAAAGAGCGTTGCACAATAACGCGAGGGTGAAAATTAAAGGCTCAAAAAACGTGAACATAGTGTTTGAGATTTTGTCTGACTAGGAGGTGTTTGTGTTAAATTTTCAAAATAGAACATAGAACATAGACTCAACATTGCAAATCGATGAGCTACTTGTCTTTGCAGAAATTCATCCTAATTTAGCTAAGAACAGTGTTGGGCTTGGAGGGAGATCAAAGGAGACAATTAATAGAAAGAGGGACGAATTAGCGATATGTCTGAATACTCATGGATCTGGAGCTACAAAAAATGAACAATGCTGGAGAAGGGTGAGTATGTTACAATTTTTTATTCATCCTTTTGTCATCGCTAATTCATAATTTGTATGCTATGTTCATTATTCTGTTGTATCCCTCTTTTCATTAGATAAATTCAAAAAAGTTGTACAACTTTTTACAGAAGATCCGCCTACAGTGCAAAGGAAACTCTTGACAAACTTCAGCAGGAATATGAACATAGTGTTTTGTTGTCAATGAATTCTTTCAGCTTTATAAAGACTTACTTTGAAATACTTCACCAAGCTACTCATCTTTTATTAAATCTGCCATCTCGTTTTCCCAATTTTTAGGTTTTACAACAAAAAATAATAAATTCTCCCAAATTCCAGGTCTGACACACAAACACTTTATAATTTACTTCCATTACGTTTATGCGCACGACAACAAGCTAAGAAATTCTCTGTTGCAACATAATAGTTCGGAACTAGTTCTTACCACGGACATGCGCAGATAAATCATTCAGAATTAGTTCTGAACTAGTTCAGAACAACTTGTTGAAATAATACACTATTTTATTAATAAAGATTCCATATTCGTATCAAACATGTCGAGGGTTCTTATTTTGTGAGCTGTCTAAAACTTAATGCACGATTTCAGTTACTATCCACAACTACACCAAACTAAATTTATGGTTTAAAGATCTGACTTCTGTCTCACCAATTTTATTTACACTATTTATTACCTATCTGGTGTTTTCCCCTTCTTTAACCTTGCCACAATATACTGCTTATCTTCCTTACTTAATCGTAGGTACCTCAAATCTCTACCATGACCATAATGTACTGTTTGCCACTCTATAACGACTCCTATATCTTCTTTTGTCACTTTGATTTGGCTTGTACATGCATATTTCAGCTTACAAGATCCTTGGCTTCTTTCACGTATGGTGCGTTTCTTTGTAACATATCCTGAAAAACAATTATTTTCTTCTAAATCACTATCTGTTACTGAACAACCTACTTATATAAATAACGATAGTCAACCTAATATTATATTCCCGCGTTCAAAACTTTATCCGAAATAAAATTATAAACCATAGGATCATCTATGAGAATTTGTCACAGCTATATTTTTCCTTTTTGCACTAATTAAAAATCTTTGTTAGTGTCTCATAGATGGCGTTGCAGCCAAGTATATGCTGTATGTTAATGTATATAATATCTATAAGACTCTTTCAACGTAGATTAGTGCAGATAGGAAAAATATAACTGTGGCAAATTCTCATAGATGCTATAGTATCTCATTTCCTTTCAGATATATGGTTGTTTGGGACTAGAGTTGTGTGGACTAGATCACTTGTAACATTGATGAACATACCACCAGAGGACACCCAGTCAATTAAAAACCGAGCGTATTATATAGTGGCGCCGCCAGCCACTTATGGTTACCACTATAAGATCTTAGCAGTAGTTACAAGAGAATACACAATTTTCTTTAGAAGGAAAATGGTGTCTGCTTTTATTACTTGGCAACAGGGTTGTTATGATGGAAATTACATTAACGTCCAAATACAGCTTAGGGTTGGAATATCAGTTGAATTTTTTTGATTTGTGATACTAACCTGTTTTACTTCTATTACAGTAATAATATGTTGTTTCACCATTCGGAAGATTGGCTTTTCCTTTTGAAACGTAATAACAACCACACTCTCTTTCTATTTTAGATTTCCACATCTGAAAGACTGAAAGAAGATAAGTATTGCTGGACGATTCACGAAATTATTATATTACACATTAATCAAGAAAACTCAAAAACTATACTGACCCAGAAAAAAGAATTTCTTTAACTTGTTTTTTGGCAACATTATGACTATATTTAAAGCATGCTGTGGCAACATTGTCAACGTTTTATCTTTGTTTTTGTTCAACTTTTTTTTTAACATCATCAACATGTTATCTCTTAGTTTTTTAAGAAGAAAGCAGTTTCTGAGAGCTGAGTAGTACAGATATTTTTAGTGATTGCCCCTTCATTTACTAGTGTTAAGCATAACAAAATGCCTCGAGTTCGAAGACGTCCAAATTATCACAATGTTAGTGACTTTGACAAGGGTAGAATTATTGCCTATCGAGGAGAAGTTGATTTGCCCTATCGCGAAATTGGCCGCCGTGTCAAGATAGGCGCTTCAGACAACTAGCCCTACGAGATCGTTTTGCTACTATGCCTCTGATCGCTGACCAATGGTTTGGAGAAGAAGGCGTACACCCTATCGTCGCATTCGAGCCTTTGGACTTTTTTCATACCGTTCACGGTCAGTGCTTCCTCTGACTACGGACCACTGTCGCCAACGTTTGAACTGGAGCAGAGAACCGCAACATTGGGAGGCAGAATGGCATAAGTCATCTTCAGCGACGACTCGCGATTCTGTGTAGGTACGCACGATGGTCGTAGAAAGCTAACATGCTGCTTTGGAGAACAGCGTGATATTGGATTTGCTGTTGAGCGACATGTACACAGTACTGTTGGAGTAATGGTTTGGGGGGCTATTGCCTTTGGTAGCCGATCACCCCTTCTCTTTGTTCAAGGCAATATGGCTGCTGCGCGTTATGTTGATGATGCCCTACAAACCACTTTACTGCCGCATCTAGAGCGCCGTCCACACGTCTTTTTCAGCAAGACAACTCACGTTCCCATATTACTCGTCGTACCCCGGACTTTCTTCGAGAAGCAGGCGTTGATGTTTTGCCGTGGCCACCCCGTTTAAATCCCATTGAACATGTGTGAGATATGATGGGGAGGAGACTAGGAGACTATTCACTTTGCACCATCCGCCACAGAATCTGTCACAGCTAATCCATGAAGCTTGAGTTGCATGGAATGAGGTGCCACAACCAGACACCAATCGTCTCATTTAGATGATGCCTAGATGCATACAGCTGGGGGGGTCGCCCAAAACATTATTTTTTTTTCTTATTACTTGTCAATAAAATTTCGTGAGAATATTATCATTTCATTCTTGATGTAAGACTACTTCATTGCCAAAAAAATCAAGTTGAGGAAATTACTTTTTTCTGGGTGTAATACTTCTAATGTCACCAAGTATATTTGACATAAGAACATGAAATTTTGAAGAGAGACAGTTTATGGACAGTACATGTGAGTTAAGAACAGATTTCACAATGGGGCCAGATTAATTATTACAATATGAGAAAAAGATACACATTAATCATGAAGTCTTGGAAACTATTTGACCTTCAAGCATAATTTTGTGGTAGGCTTTATTAAGGGATTGAAGGGCACTTGCAGTTGGTTGAGAAATTGCTTGGGCTTTTCTAATATGTATCTGAATATTGGCAATGATGAGGTTCTGGTTAGAGTAGACTTAAACTAAAAATGTTATATGTTGTAACCATTTAACATGTATGAACTTAAAAGCTAGTTAGTGAATCACAGTCTGTGAAATATCTGTCACCACTACTGGGGACTAATTGACTGACCTAAACCAGTTCCTTTGTTATAATTACATGGCCATTATTGACTTTTTTCTAAGAGGGTCTATGGACTAACAATCTTTTATAATCTGATAACATTGCATAGGTCCTCTATAAACTAATCCAAAAGGGTTTTCCTTTTTGGCTTCTATAATTACTGAAATCCTTTCGTGAAGGAAGTTTCGGATTAAAATGAACAATGTTTTGTCAGCAACATGGCCAGTACGGGCTATTTATTGTACCAAAAAACGTCGCGGCTACCCAGCAGAGGTTTCTGTTGACAGAAATCGTACACCATCAACAAATTCTGCCAAGTATCTTGGTGTCACCCTTGATAAAGGTATGACCTGGCAGAAACATACAGCATCTATAAAATCCAAATTCCAAATTGCGTTTCGGCAACTATATCGTTTGTTATGTAGATCCTCCAAAACGATTTTGATAAACAAAGTTCGAATATATAAAATGATAATTAGACCAGCCATTACTTATGCATGTGCAGCTTGGTGTTTTCTTGAAAAGACACACATGCAAAGTCTTCAAGTACTGCAAAGCAGAACCTTGGGGACAATTTGCAACTCTCCATGATATGTCTCAAATGAGACACTACACAGAGACCTTGACATTCCTTACTTGAGGGATTATGTCAAGGTTCAGACATAGCGACATTATAGTCAAGCGGAATCGCACAGCAACCCTCTGTTGAGTGACTCAGTGGACTACACAGTGGAGCAAGTTCGTAAACATTCAAGGCCACAGCTCGCACTGTTATCAAGAATTTTTAGTAAACTCAAAATTACACTCTAACAAAACTGAGTCAAAAATTTGTTTAGTTCACATCAAAATTAATCTGTGTACCAAGTCAAAAAGCTTACTAGGTGTTTTCTCTTAAACTAAGCACATCTGATTTGTTTGCTCTTCTTTTTCCTTAACTTTGTCTGGTTTCTGGGCAACCAGGACTGACAGATTCGACTAACTTACATAGACAGTGACTAATAGGCAAAGGTCCTACGGACCGCCCAGACAAGCAAATGACGAAATAGCTTTAGTTTAGCATTGCATAGGAAGTGCTGCAACAACCTACTTAATCTCATTTTTTTGTATAATTATACCCTAATAAGAAAAAAAAATCATTGCTGGCCATAGATGAAGAAACTATGTCAAAATTACCCAGAGCCTTGGGCACTTGCTACTTGTGATAAGAAGATGGAATTGGTTTTAAATATTATACCTTCCACATCATCCATCAGAAGATGCTCTGTATGGAATTTCATATGATGTCCAATCGTTAAGTGCTTTATCAAACATTTTTTGGATCTAAAAGCGCTGTCACAGTTTTCTTCTAGACATTGATGACTCCAAGAGCACTCCAATTTGGAACGACCTGTGGGTATTAGAACCTCTTGGTGGAGTGTTTTTAGGTGTCTTCTCAATCCTGACCGAGTACTGAACAATTTTCTACATTTACTGCATTCCACGTAATCCATAATCAGTTTACTGCTATTATTCGAATAAAATGTATTTCTATACATCCAGAAAATATTTCTAAAATTTTTTTGACCTGTTAAACGTCACACGTCAATTTGTAAGTTGCTTACTTGCTTTCTTGCTTACAGTTTTCTGATTTTTGCTATTCATTATAGTACAACTACCAGCCACGAGATGTGTCTAAAAGTAGCTATGGGCAGAATCGAATGATTCTAATAATCGGATAGTTAGTATTCGAATGATTTTAAGAATCGATATATCACTCGAATGATCATTCACATGTTGTAAACATCGTTCAGTCAGCAGTTCTGATTTCTGATTCTCGTTTCTCGCTGCCGCGACGCCGCGAGCGATTTGAACAACGATTGCAGTGTTGCCGCTTTGCCAGTAATTACTTGCATTTGCAAGGAATGAGGAGCTTTGCAAGTAAACTTGCAAGGAATGGGTGCTCTGGAGGAATTTGCAAGTAATTGATGCGATGTTCATATTTTATGGATTAAAACATTCGTAACAGTTGCCATATTAGCATAACATTCTATGATACGGCGTGCGGGATTCAACCTAGAACATGGAGCCGAGCCAGCTGAAGTGAAAAAACAAATCGGGATAGAACGCATGATCACTAAGTAGGTGCTTCTGTTATCTGTCATTTTTCTCGGGACCATAAAGCCGCTGTGACTGTCAAGCCGCAGCAGTCTTGAGTCTTAGCAGAGCACTGAGGAGTAAAAATGGCCGTACTGACTGAAATATGAATACTCATCGTGAATCAATCAGTCGGTAGATATACATCTATTTTTGCGGAACACTCGTCACTCGGAATTGGAGGTTGTGTTTGGAGGTATGAGAAGTCATAGCACAGGTTCACCAAAAATTCATTCAGCGGTAGAATCGGTAGAATTAGACCTGAAGGAGATTCGAATACCTGTCATAACTAAACGAATAAAAACATTGAACTTTGCCAGTAATTGCAAGTAAACTGTCAGGTATTTGCAAGGAATTGCAAGTAAAACTGTCTGGTACTTGCAAGTAATTTGGCCACAACGCTGTGGCAACACTGATGAATGATTTTGTTTTAGTTGTTTTCGAACTTCGTGACGTGACGGGTGGTGTTTCGCTCAGTGGTGTTTTTCTTTTGCGGGTGATTTACGTTCGTCTTGTCTGTTTTGTTTAATACTAACTTTATCAGGCTTGGGTAAATTAAAATAAGGTAGTGTATATTCGTCCGTACATGTGCGGTCGACGTGACGTTTTGTTTAAACGGCCGTACATGTTTTAATTTGCACTGCTTAAAATAAATTAATCGTCCGGTTAGGTTAGCGCTTTCTTTAGAGGTTTTAATAATATTTCAATATGTACTAACATTTCAATAAACCATTCACCTGATCGAACTTAGGCAAGAATATCGAATGTGCGGCCGTTTAAACAAAACGTCACATCGACCGCACATGTACGGACGAATATCCAGTGCCTTAAAATAAATCTAAGTGTAAGTTTTTCTGTGAAAAAATAATTGTACTTTTTATTATTATGTTTTAATTGCAACAATTCTACCGGGAATAATTTTGTTACCGGTACCGGGACTCTAGCCACAGCGTAAATCAAATTCGTTAAATACCGATTTATTATAATTTGCCCATGCCTGATAGAATTATGAGACCTGGTGCTAAAAAATCCGTCGTTTGGGAATATTTTAAAAAATCTTCCAACACAAATTTTGTGCAATGCAATATTTGCAAAAAAGAACTAAAATTTTTTGGGAATACTACAAATTTGAATCAACATTTGAAGCGATTGCATGCAACTCAATTATTAGCAAATGAACCACCCAATAACGACAAGGATTTAGACAATAATGACCAAAAAGTGAATTCATTCAAGCACAAAGAAGATGAAGCTGGTCCATCAAGTAAAACCGATGAAATAATAGGAGAAAATCGAACGGGTTCATCGAATGACTCAACATTCCATCCTCCACCCCTAAAGCGAAGAAAGCAATTAAAATTATTTGGCGCTAAAACCAATGAATTGACTGACGTGGACATAATTGAAATAGATAATGCCCTTGTAAAAATGATAGTAAAAGACTATCAGCCTTTATCTATTGTCGAAGACGAAGGCTTTATTGAATATTCTAAAAGGCTTCAACCATTATATAATTTGCCGAGTAGGAAAAAGCTTTCAAGCATGCTTATCCCACAATTATACGAAAGAGAAAAATTAAAATTAAAAAATATGTTGCGCGAAACAAATAATATTGCAATCACTACGGACTGTTGGAGTTCAGATAGTAATAAATCATATATCACTATTACTTGCCATTTTATATATAGTGACAAAATGCATTCCAATGCTTTAGCTACAAGGGAAATGCTACATTCTCATACAGGAGAAAATCTAGCATTATCCGTAAAAGAAGTTTTGCAAGAATGGGACATATTTGAAAAGGTGTCTACAATTGTTTCAGATAATGCTGCAAACATAAAAACTGCAGTGCAAATACTGAACAAACATCACCATCCATGTGTGGCCCACACTCTTAATTTGAGTGTAAATGAGGCACTTAATGGAAAGCCCTTATTAAGCGCGATACTAAAAAAATGTAGGAGTATTGTTGGACATTTTAAACACAGCAACAATGCTTCTAATAAATTGAAAGCGGTGCAAGAGCAGATGGGGCTTCCTGTTCTTAAAGTGAAGCAAGATGTTCCTACAAGATGGAATTCTTGTCTAGTAATGCTGGAAAGATTATTGGTGATAAAAGATTCCTTGAGTATTACTATTACCAGTATTTCCAGTGCTCCAGAATTTTTAGATGCTCAAGAATGGACTATAATAAAAGATTTAATTCCTATTTTGAAGCCAGTGGAGGTTATCACCACAATCCTATCTGGCGAAAAGTACCCTACAATGTCTTCAATAATACCACTCATAAGAGGATTGCAGCATGCGCTAGTACGTTTCAGTACTGAAAATGAGGTCTGCACTCTTTTAAAAAATGATTTAGTAGATATTATTTCACGTCGTCTTGGAATTCTTGAAGTAAATAAGACTGTCGCGAAGTGTTCATTTTTGGACCCAAGGTTCAAAAAGTTGGGATTCGGGAACGAAACGAATTCTTCTAATGCTCAGAAATGGGTGTTTGAAGAACTGGTCCAACTGATAAGAAAGAAAAATGAACTAAATATAAATGACTTGGAGGAAAATAGACAGGAAGATGACTTAAGTAATCAAAATCCATCCAAAGACAATGATTTCGGAGTTTGGTTAAATTTTGACACAAGGTTATCTACAGTGAAGTCGACAGTTACCCCTACTACTGTTGCTACCTTAATAATTCGTCAATACTTGGAACTGCCTTTTGTAAATCGAAAAGAAAATCCATTAGAATTTTGGAAAGCACACAAACAAAGTATGCCTGAGCTCTATGAGCTTGCACTTAAATATTTAACAGTTCCTGGTACATCTGTACCCTCGGAGAGGATATTTTCGAAATGTGGACAACTAACCAACTTAAGACGAAATCGCCTATCTCCAAAAAACTTAGACCAAATAATTTTTTTAAATAGTTCTAATTTAGACTAGTATTATTAATTCAGAGTTTATGTTTGTATGGTACAAATATTTTGTTATGTCATGAAGTTTAATTTTATTATTTTATTTTATTATTATTCTAATATTTTGTTTTAGAAATTAACCTATATAATAATATATTATGTTTGCAGTTTTAAATCAAAGTTTAAGAAATGTAATTAAGTTTTATTTTACTGTTCAGAACAATAAGTTTGTTTTAGGAATAAATGTTTATTTTTCCAGTTTTAAACCAAAGTTAAATAAACTTTTTGTTAACATTAGTTTTATTTTTCTGTTATTATGTTACATATTTCCAAGCAGATTTATTATTATTATTATTACATATTTTGTTGCAAGGAATAAAGTTATAGGTAATGAATGCTCAATTCCAATCATGTATTGAGTTTGAGGTTTTAAGTTTTAACACCAAGATAGAATATGAAATTATCAAATCAATATAAATTACTGCTGTTATAAATATAATTAATAATCAGATAAACTAATATGCATAAAATTGAAATAAACTTTCGCCACTTGGCACATAATATACGTTAAAAAAACTATTGAGAGAAATCTGCTAAGGCACCCTATATTGTTATTCCCAACTAATAAAAAAAATAGTTCGATCGAAATAGAAAGAGCTATCAAAAGAATGCGCTTGAAAATTTAGATTTGTGATTCGATTATATTACCACACATAATAATAAAATTACGATGCGACAACATAAATTCTCAAGCGCATTTTTTTGGTAGCTCTTCCTATTTCAGTCGAAATTGTCGAAATATACCTACCACCAGGGCCGGCGCTAAGACTTTTGACGTCACGGGCAAGCCCAATTCTGCCGCCCCCCCTCCCACTTTTTTTCGTGCGCTCGGAAATCATTTAACATAGAACTCACGTATGTTAGACAATAATGCATAGTAATAGTTTTTTGTTTTCACACTACACATTTATTTATATATTTTGATTCTTAACAGTCTATGTACTCTATGTTACACCTATGTTCCTAACGCCGGCCCTGCCTACCACTTTTCGGGCCAGACCGCCAATTATTTCATAGATACGGCTGGGCTCACTGCTCACGCGTTGCTGCATGCGAAAGATGATTCACGAATGATCGCTCGAGACATCTGGTGCGAGACGCGCAGCGGCAGCATCGGTTTTATTTTGTTTCGAGCGGTCACACATTTGATTGAAGAGTGAATTATCATTCGAATCATTTGGTTGAAGTATTCGAGATATCTCGAATGATTTTGATAATCGAATGACCGATTATTTTTCATTCGAATGATCCCATCACTATCTAAAAGCACGAAATCCTTGCAATCTGCTGAAAGCTACTAATACTCTTCATAAATTCCTGCAAATTCCCTGTAAAGATGTGAATGGCGAAATTATAGTACACGCGTCGACTACTAGGTGTCTTTACTACACCTCGATTATTTGCTATCTGTCGGAAACAATAGAAACTTTAATTTATCAAACGGAGAGTACTGAGCTGAGTAATAAAACAAGTGACATGGCAGCCCGATTTACACCTCACAACTAGCTGCAAGACCGATGATGCGTTATCGCCAGTGCGTGTAGGTTTTAAAATTAATTGAGGTACCATTTAATTTATTTTCACTCTTTCTTCTATCTTTTCATTACTTTCAAGGTGTTATAAGGTTTATTACATTGATATATCAAATATGCTGCCCCAGTTTATGATTCTTTAACTTTACATATTTTTTATATTACAAAAATAATTTTAATAGACGGGAAAAAATAAAGAAAAGAGCTCAAAAATTAAATTTTTTTTAGATTGTATTCTGGATCTTTAAATAATAAATAAATAATAATTTATTGGTACTATTACACAAAAATGTGTTTGCACAGGTCATTTAAAGTAGAACATAAAAGAGTAAGTAAAAGTAACAAACAATACGAAAATAAGACAAACGTAAAACACAAAGTGGCAATAAAAGGTAAAAAAAACTTGATAAAACTATTTTAAAATTTAGAGGAACAATAAAATAAGATGGTTAAAAAATTATGAAATACTAATCATTTTTTCATGTTTGTACTCAAATGTCCTTACACACGTCTGGAGAACGATAAAATATAATACAAAAATAACACATAAAAAAAACAAACGAAAACAAAGTAATAAATAGTCAACAATTATGGAACAAAGTCGGTAAAATCATTATTTAAAAACTCATCTATGCTGTAAAAAGCTTTCGTCACTAAATATCTTTTCACAGTTGCTTTAAAAATGGTTGAGTTGAGTGTTTGACAAAACTTGGGCAGCGCATTAAAAAATTTCACACCGAAATAATTACTTCCGTGTCTAGTTTTTGAAAGTCTTGTGTACTCTGGTATTAATTCATTGTTGAACCTTGTGTTATATTTGTGAATCTCTTTCGGAGTTCTGTAATCATCGTAATTATTTTTAACGTGGATCAGACATTCCAGTATATATATGCATGGCACAGTTAAAATTTTTAGGTCGATAAATGTCGTCTTGCAACACTGTCTGAAATATAAGTTTGCTATTATTCTCAAGCATCGTCTCTGAACAGCAAACACCTTCGATACATGACATGAATGTCCCCAAATCAGTATGCAGTATTGCAAGTTAGATTGGATGTAAGCATAATAGGCTGTCATTAAAGTCGATTTTGTTACGTAGGTATTTAAACTACGTATCATATATGTTATTTTAGATAACTTCTTTGATAAAGAAGTGATGTGTGATTCCCAAGTTAAGCTTGCATCAATAATCACTCCAAGAAATTTCACGGGCTCTACTAAATCACTTCTATGTGGACGAGTACTGAGTAGAAGAGATTGAGTTTTCGCTATGTTGATTGACAAACTGTTGGCATTAAACCAGTTTTGAATGTTGTCAAAATGCTGCTGAGAATCGAGCAATACATGATCAAAGTTACTATTGGAGGATATTGATGTCGTGTCATCCGCAAATAATATATACTGATTGATGCTACAGTTTGGCAGATCATTGATGTAGATCAAAAAAAGAATCGGTCCCAAGACACTTCCTTGGGGAACTCCGTGCTTAATATGCACATTGTTGGATAAACAATTTTGAAAACTAACATACTGTCTTCTATCTGATAAATAAGACGCAATTAAGGACAGGCTATTATTACTAAAACCATACAGCGACAACTTTTGCATCAAAATGTGATGTTGGACACAATCAAATGCTTTTGTAAGATCATAGAAGTTAGCGAGGGCAAACATGTTATCTTCCAGACATTTGTTGATGAAACTGATAAAATTGTTTATTGCTGCTTTCGTTGATCTGTTGGTACGGTATCCAAACTGGTTGTTACAGAATAAATTGTTACCTTCGAAGTATTCACATATCTGATTCTTCAGAAGAATTTCGAAAATTTTTGCTATAATTGGTATTATAGAGATGGGTCTGAAATTACATGGATCATTCTCACAGCCTTTCTTGAAGAGTGGCACAATCTTTGCAAGTTTTAATAAGGCAGGAAAGACATTATTTTCTATACACATGTTTATCAATTTTGTTATAGGATATACTAACAAGTTATTTAAGGTCTTCATAATTTTAACATCGATGTCATATGGATCTTTACTTTTAGAATTCTTTAAGCTTTTGATTGCGTCTCGAACATCATTGAATGAAACAGTTCGAAAGTTGAAATGTAGTGTATCACTAGTCTGTATAAAATCTTTGAAGTTCGACTGGGTAGCTGGAATTTCAGCGATAATGGTATCAGCAATGCTGACGAAGAAAGAGTTTAAATCATTCGCGCTGAGAGTAGACGAATGTGCTTTTGATGATTGCACACCATTGGATTTAATCACGTTCCACATAGCTGCTTGTTTATCTGACGCTCTACGTATAAATTTATCATGAGCATTTTTTTTCCTAATTCTGATTTCTGATCGGTACTTTGATTTGAAGACATTAATCTCCTTCTTTGATACTACTTGGGGATTATCTTTATTAATTTGTGTTATTAGTTCCAAAGTCTCTCTCATATGAGCCAATTCGTGATCAAACCAGTTGATTTTGTTGCGACAACCCTCTGATA